GGACCTTGTGGCACCATAAATCATTGGTTTATGGAGCTTCATTGCATATTCCGTGAGTGCAAAAAGATTGTCAGCAAAAACAATAATCTTATCCCCACGTTGCTCTTCATGGAACCGAATAAGAAACTCACAAGCCCTAAACTTGTTAGGGTTCATCACATATAATGCCTGCAAAGTGCAAATCAAACCATAACATACACAACTATCAACTATTATTATTATTATTATTTATTCTAATAACATCATATACCTGTTTCTTCTTGGAATTTTCCTTCTTCAGATACTCAGCAAAAAACTCTTTTGTCATTGGACACCACACTTCAGCACATTGTACATTTGCAATGAATCCTCCTTTAACCAAATCCAACCAATTTGCCTCGTATAATTTCGGACCAATAAGAAAATTCAAATCCGTAATTCTTTCATCCTCTCTAACAAGTGTAGCTACAAAATAATAAAAATATAATATAAAAAACTCCCACCTCAGAACAAAAGAAATATTAAATCCTTAGTATTTCAGAAGCATATACCAGTAAGCCCAAGCTTGCAGTGAGATTTAGTGATGCTAATAACTTTACGAAACATATGTGCAGGCACCACATGCACCTGAAATTTGTTTTTTTTTTTTTTGGAATATAAGGGTAAAATGGTCATTTAGTCTTGTTTATTCAAAAGTGTATGTGTATGTACCTCGTCCATGAGTAGCAAACCCCATTCTCTATTTCTTATTTCTTCAATGATTTTTTCAGACTCTTCGGATCTTTTACCACCAAAAGCAACCATGTTATATGTAGTGACAACAACTCCAGCATTTCCACGAAACCTTTCTTTACTATCAGATGTAAACCTACATATATGATCATCACGAATGTTTGACCACAACTTGAATTGGAAAGCCCATTGGTCAACAGAAACAGCATTTGTTGCTAAACAGAGACAGCTCTTTTTAATCCTGCAGGCTGCAGAAACACCAACTAAAGACTTTCCAGCACCACAAGGTAACACAATGATCCCAGACCTTGCTCTTCCTGCAGCATGCATCAGGAGATTTAAAAAAAACTCTCTCAACAAATGTTAACAAGTTTTTACAATCAGTGTTTTTAAGGGGTTGTGAGGTGTCTTACCATTTCCAAACATCTTACTGAGACTCTTCTCTTGATAAGGTCGTGGTTGTGCTTGAGGCTTTAATTCCATCTCAAGATCCGGATTTATCTGCAATTTGCTTATGAGTAATTATCAATTGTAGAAAAGACTATGGGGTTGTTTCTTTTTGACTTAATGAGCTTTATGGGTTAAGCTCTTAATCTCAACAGCTATACATGACTGTTTCTTGTTGGCTTAATGTATTAAGACACCAACCCTTTATTATTAAAAAAGGGAGTAGCTTGTGAATATTGTTTTTTTGGAATGTAAGGGTAAAATGATCATTTAACCTCAATCAGAGAGTTTATCCAGACAGAGATCATTGCCCATACATGACTTAATGGCAAAAAGAAGAAGCAACCCCTACAAATTTCATTGAGGTATGGGAGATAACTCACAGTATCATTGCGAAAATCATACTCCTCCAACATGGGATAGTTTAAAGCATTTGGCAAACACCTCTGCTTTACATTTTCAACCTGTCAAGTAATTTTGTTAAAACGATGATGCAGTAATTCTAAAAACCACTCTTCGATCATTTAAAGTGATATAAAATAAGATGAGCTTCATCAGAAACTGATACTACGTATCATATACCTGACCGGGGTCAATTTCAAATGAATGAGCTTCTTTTTCTTCAGCTGCAGCTGCCAACTGTGCTTCTGTTAGCAGTTCCTCATGTCTACCATCAATTTCACCTACTGATCTACTAACAGCAAAGCCATCGTCTCCCTGAATGTGAGAATATACAGAATCAAGCAAGATCAATCCCTCATATAAAACAACATAAAAAGAGGAATAATAATAGCTACAAAGAAAATCCATAACCTCGTTTGAAATCCTCGCTCGAGATATGACTTCATCACTTAACAATCTCTTTAATACCTGTAAGCACCAATCAAATAACAAAATTAATAACTGAATATTTGAATATCCACAACCTGTTGTTTCAAGATTAAGAAAAAGATGTGCAGTCTTGCCTCTGGGAAAGGAGATTCAACCAGGTAACGATTCTTTTTCAGTACAAGCTTTACTTTTCCATAATTGGATGTTGAAGCATGAATGAAATCGATCATCTCTTTAGGAAGCTTGGTCTTTGAAAGCTTGTTCAAAACAGATATGATGGTTTCAGTTTCTAGACCCACTGACACAGCTGCATAGAGCGAGTGGGGTGTCAGGTTGTACTCATGCATCGACTCTGGCCTATAAGCACAAACACCCCAAACATGAAACATCTCAGATTTTATGCACAAAACCATATGAACTGTTAGTTGAGATGCAGATGTATATTACCTGCAGACAGGTTCTGCAATTGCAATTAGAAAATCATAAGCTTGTTTATACAATGGAGAGAAGGTTTCAAGAAAGATCCGGCCATCTGCACAAGCCCATAATGGCCGATTGACATGATCTGCTTTAAGTTCCAATTTGGTAAAATCTCTCTTTTTTCCTTCTCCATCACCTTAAACAAACCAAGAAAACATTCATTTAGATTGCCTCAAGGCTGCGAAAGACATAGAATCCCTATTAACACTAATTAGATAAAAAAAATACCATCACGATCATCGTCACCAAATTCTTCAACATAATATGCATCCTCCTCTTCAAAAGCTGCAGCTTTATAGTCCTCCTGTGTTATAACACACATACATTAGCTCATTAGGATTACCCAATCTTTGTAAGAAAGGTTTTATTGACTTCAGAGTACATCTTAGTTTCTCCCGTGAAACTTGAAGTATAATCTGAATGTTCGTTGATAATGAGATACCATAGTTTAGTTATCAATTCATCAAACATAGTGAAAGAGCAAGTATAATTCAGATTTTCTTTCATATGAGCAGCCTAGGTTCAACTGACAGTTCATCAACCGCAATGAAACACTTCTCCTACCCAGAATAATAAAATCAAATGGTGATAATAACAAATTACAAATTCATTTTGCGAACAACCTTGGTTGATGACTTGTGCTTCTTGCTAGGTCTCCCACTTTTATCACCTGTGAGCAAAACACAAAGAGTTAGATTAGTAAGATTAATTATCGCCATTCGTGCACACAAGCTTTTGTGTTTTGATTGGGATCCTTATATGTTGATCGTAAATTAGGGTTTTTTTTTCTAAATTAAATCCGAATATACCGTGCCCCATGATCGGTTCTTAGATTTGTCAATCGAATCAACAATTCGTGTGTGCGGATTGGGAGAAATGAAGAAGATGAAGATCTTTTCAGGTAGTATTGTAGTGAGGTAATCGCTGACAACTGCGGTTTATATCCCGGGTTTTGTTCGTCGACAGGGACTCGGTGAGTCGGTGATGCAGACAGCCGTATCCAGTAGCGAGTTACAAATGCAACGATGATATTTATACAAACAACAAAAGATAACAAATTTGAATAGATTAATAGAATGGGAAAAAAACCTAACGAGCTCCCTGATTTCAGTTTTAAGATTAATTCAGAAAACGGTTAATCGGAACTTTTGCAAAAAGATGCTCGCTTTATTTGCATGTTTTAGTCTAATCCTTTTAGACTTGTAAATGTAAGTATAGTATCCTCAAAATCAAAGTATATATGCTCAAAGATAATATATAACTTGAAATTAAGAGGACAGCGATTAACATTACACATGTAAGGGAGACTACACATTATAAAAACATTCATTTGGTTAGCTTTGATTTATTTGTAGGGTTATAAAATGAAAATTAGTAGTATCTAGTGTTTTTTTTTTTTTTGGTACTCTATAATAATAGACCAATATTTTTTTTTTCATTACACCATTATAATTAATTCTAACCGGGGAGTTATGTTCTATTGAATGTCATGATGGATGTTTTGTCAATAAGACATCAATATTATACATAAATGAACAAATAATGCGATATTGGATGTCATAATGATGCTACCGACGACACATGCACAACCACGCTCTAAACAAGCATTGTTGATCTTGTACTCCTAACCCTAGGCTCCAAATGGCAAGACTTCAGTTTCGATACAAACCCGAAAACCCTAGGCTCCAACTCCAAGTAGCAAGACTTCCAAACCTCTGACATGTTTTTCCTTTTCTTACACTAAAATCAAAAGACATACTTCCAAAAGATTCTTTGTATTGGGGTTTAGAGAAATGAAGAGGATTTAAGGAGTATGACATACACAAAATAATTTGATAACTTGGTCACAACAAGTCACATTTAACATAGTTAATGGCTTATTTAAAATTTTTACAAGATTTGATAATTTTTGTATACATAATAATTACATGAATGGTCCTTATGGTTTGAGTTAATCTATACACTAGTCTCTATTTTTTTTAACTCGAACTATCATTGCGATATATTTTTGTTATGCATTTAGTCTCATACCAAAAAAGATTATATTGCCCTTATTTGTTTATTTGTCTATTAATTTGTTTATTGTTTATTTTTTATTTTTTTTATTAGAATTTGTTTAATAAATAAGGTGGGTCTCACCTTTTACCTTCACATTTACCCATCATCTTCAGTCTCATTCAAAACATCACGACTTCAACTTCAACTTCAACTTCAATGGGCATGAAAACCGTGACAACGTTACAGAAATAAGGTTGCAGATTGAGGTTTCTACCGATATAGAAAAGAAGGGGAGTATGTTTTTCCTTTTTCTATACCAAAATCAAAAGACATGCTTCCAAAAGATCCCTTGTCTTGGGGTTTAGAGAAGTGAAGAGACATTTAAGGAGTATGACATACACAAAAAATCACGACTGCACCTTCCAAAAGTATGTTTTTCCTTTTTCTTATTTTTTTTCTATTAAAATATGTTTACTAAATATGGTGAGTCTCACCTTTCACCTTCGTCTTTACCCATCATCTTCAGTCTCATTCAAAAATCACGACTTCATCTTCAACTTCAATGGGCATGGAACCATTGACAACGATACAAACAAGGGTTGCATATTGAGGTTTCCAATGATGTAGAAAAGAGGGGGGGGGTAAGATGAGGGAATTTGACAGTGACCATCCTTACCTCTACCCCCACCCTTTTAAAAAACCTTTCCCTCACATTTCATCATTGTTTGCTGTAACATCCTGTTTCGGATCGTCTGTGATTTAGGGTTCGTGGGCTGCAACCCGGGCATGAGGAAGCCTCGAGGCTGCGACGAGATGCTAGAAGCGCAGGGCTTCTCGTCACCTTTCCGTGGATATGAGGTTTATTAGAAACGGAGTTATATCGAGGAAACTATGGAAGTTTGAAGTTGTGACAAAATAGGTCCCTTATTTGAGAAAGGTGGCAGCTGAGTACGCTGGGCGTACGTGTGTGTACGCTTAGCGTACTCATGTGCGTGAATTTGAATCGGAGTCACCTAGTACGCTGGGCGTACTAGGCACAGAATGAAAACCCTAAATGAGGGGGGTGTCCCTATATAAAGAATAAGTTGGCCTCATTCCTAGCCACCATCCTCAGACAAAAAACCCTCTCAAACCCTAAATACTCGTCAATTGAGCTTGTATGGTTATTTGTGAGCTATTGAGTGATCTTGTGTTTCTTTGGAGTGAAGAATGAGCCTTAAAGAAGGAGTGGAATTCCAGGCTTTGGATATGAGCTTATCTGAGTTGGAAGCTTCATGTTGAGGTATGAAGCTTAAAGCTTTCTCACTCTTTTGATTTGTGCATCATTTTAGTGTATTTTAGGGTTTTAGTCCCAAAGTTGGAGACTTTATGAGATACTGAGCTCCAAATATTATTATCAGCTTCTTTGAGTGTCTATAGTGGTGTAGAGTCATAAAAATAGAGACTTGGACGTTTAAATCAACCCATGCATGAGATATGTGCATTTTGAGATGAGAATATGAGAGTTTTGGGTGTTTGTGACTTTATCAGCCATGCAAAGGCTTAAAGTCATAGACTTTATGGAGTAAGAGCTTCTAGGGAGTCCAGATCTATGATATGAGCTAAGGTCTTAACGAGTTAAGACCAAGAAAGTGAGAAAAGCCATATTGGACGTACGCCGAGTGTAATCCTAGTACGCCCGCGTACTGGGTTGGTGTTCCCGATCTGATTTCGTGCATGCTTGTGTACGTTGAGCGTACCAAGGGAGGTACGCCCCGCGTAACCTTGTTGTGGGCTTTTTGGGCTAAATCTTATAATAGGCCTTAAGGGTTGGGCCTGGATCTTTGGGCTTGTGTACTAGAGATTTTGAGCAGAGAAATATTATATATATATGTCTTGGGCCCTTGTGTTGTGCTTGTCCACTTGTCACTTGGACTTGAGAGTTGGGCCTCGGGAGAGCCCATTCATTATTGGGCCTTGGTGGGCCCAATGAGTTTTAGGTTACTGATGGGCTAGTTAGTGGACTACCTTTAGGCCTAAAGAGTAAGGGTTTGGACTTAGATCTTAATTGGGTAATTGTGGATTTTGGTCCAGTGTTAGAGGTCGGTGTGTAGCAGCAGCATCTATAGGATCTGTTTATCATCCGAGGTTAGTCTTCTCACTATACTTACCTTGAGTGGTAATTTGTGTGACCGGAGGGTCTTGTATGCTATTATTGAGTATTGTGATATCCTACATTATGTCTTTGTGATTTATGTTGTGTATTTTTCTGAGATTTACTGAGTTAGGACCGGAGGGTCCACCCGAGTTGTGGGACCGGAGGGTCCCACTGAGACACATTGACTGGAGGGTCTTATCTGAGTATAGCCATGAGAGGCTAATGAGATATGTGTGGTATTTTGGGGAACTCGCTAAGCTTCGTGCTTACTGTGTTACGTGATATGTGTTTCAGGTACTTCTTAGGATCGCGGGAAGGCGCCGGCTTGATTGTACACACAAGAGAAAGAGTTATGTTTTGAGGATCCTGGATTATTAATTACCCAATTATGGATTTGCGTTTTGTTAATTAAATAAATGGGATTTTTGTGAATTGTGTTATGATAATTATGTGATTATAAAATGAAAATTTTGTTTGAAAATTTATTGTGTTACAAGTTAGTATCAGAGCCTTGGTTTGAGGGATTCGGATGCACCTTCGGGTATGTCTGGACTCAAGCTGAGGATTTGAGAAAAATTTCAAAAGAAATGATTTTTCTAAAAAGAGCAAGAATTTCTAAGAGAAAAACGAGAAGGAGCAGTGTGTACAATCAGCGAGAGCCCCAACGGTGATTTCCCAAAATACCCTTACTTATTTGTGTTATGAGTTATTATTGATGCATGCTAGAAGATAGGCTAGGTATTTCATATTTTAGGGCTAGAGTTGCCTGATTTGTGATGCCTCAGCCTAGGATTTGTTGATATCTATGATGTGCTTTGAGTATGTGCGGAGTAAGAGTATCCAGCAGGAATCTTTTAGAGAGAACTTTGAGTAGAGGAGTAATTTCGGAGAGATACCTAGATGAGCATTTGAAGAGTCTAATGAGGGAGTAGTTAGATACCCGCGAGAGGTAGGGTTGCTTGAGTTCGGTGATACCTTTTGAGTGTGAGTAGAGCAAGTGGAGTTGTAGCCTAGAATGGTTTTACATGTTGGTGAAGATTATTCGATGCCCGAATGCTGCTTGCTTTGTGCTTTGTGGAACTATTGATGATGGAGTCAGCTACCCAGTGAATATGACGATATTCAGGAGGTAGATGGTTGGCATCATGAGGAGTTCTTCGGCAGCTGATGGCAGAGAAGTGTGAGAACCTAGGAAGAGCCTGGGAAGTGACTTTAGTCAGAAGAGTACGTTGATAGAGGAGAGTATTCGCTGGATAGCGACCATGTATATCGTGTTTGGTGATCGAGGTGGTTGAGCAGCTACTTAGGAAATCTGGGATGATCCGTGTGGAAAGTATGGGTAGATGTGGCAGGTAGGATGGGCCCGTACTACTGAAAGCAGAGGACCCGTACTCGAAACAGGGAGAATTCCAGAGGTTCTAAGTAGCAGATTGAGAGGTGATAACATGGTTCGAGTACCATGATTCGGGGCGGTTAGTGCTTCAGAGTTTACCAGTTATCCCGTTGTGATTGATTAGACTGAGAACATATATGATAGAGTGTGGGGCCAGAGGGCCATGTCGAACGAGTTTCAATGGAGCATACCTTAAGAGGGAAATCGAGTTAGTTACCGAGAGATTTTATTTGGTGAGATGCCAGTTAGAGTCGCAAGACTCAGGGATGAGTAGAGATGATGCTTATTGGTGGATCACAGTCTGAGTGAGCAATCGACCGATAGATGAGACGTCACCTTCTGTGACAAGAGTTGTGTTGTCCCCATATCCTTGAGAAGCAAAAGAGATAACGAGCTTTCGGTTTCAGAGTTTGGAGGTAAACCACGTGGGGTAGCATAGGGTTGCAACCTTTTCACCAGAGTATTTGGGCAGTATGTTTGCTGCGAGGCATTGCTTATACCATGAGAGATTCATTAGTGGGACTAAGATGGAAGAGAACAAGGAGGTGCCTTATTGAGGGAGGCATACTTTTAACAGTAGTTCCAGGTGATTAAGAG